TGCAAAGGAAAATCTCTTTAGATACTTAAGTGACAATTGAATTTATTTTTATAATTGTTTTAATAGCTTTTGTATAATCTTCATTGCTATTATGAGATATAAAATGTATTTATCAAATCTGTAATCATTATGCCAAAAAATCTGAATTACTCTAACATTTTGTATATTGTTAAAACTGTAACTTTAATTGTTAAAAAAAATTGAAATAAAAAAATTTAAAAAAACCTTTACTTTCATTTGAATTGAATAATTCACTTCTATGCATATCTGAATCATTGTGTTATATGTGAATCATTGTGTCTGTATTTTGTTTGAGATTTGTTCTATTCAGTAAGTGTCATGAAACGTCTTTATGTTTCATGTAAATCTTCCCTTGGAATTTTAATCAGCTTTCAATCTTGGTTTTTCCAAAGTATGGTATGTAACCATTTTTATGAAGTTACTCTAGTCACAAATAATTAAGTGTAATTAAAAATGTTTAAGTTATAAGCTTCTTTTCCCCATACATGTCAAAATAATTGTTTTTCTCCTGAATTTTTCACATTTGTTTGGTAACATGGTTCAGTTGTTATGAAGTACACTTCATTTTCCTTATCTCTAAGTTCCAGATTTGGGCAGTGTTACATTAAAAGAGAATTATGGTCTAGAGAATATGAGATTCAGACTTTTAAAACTCTTGATTTTAAAACCAATTTCTCCCCAAATATTAAATAGTAGTAAACATACCAAAGGAGCATATCTTGGTTTTGGAGGTGGAGGAGGCCCATGGCACTGACAAAAACGTTTGACCTTAGGTGATGCTACAAAAGGTTCACAAGGAAGGAGTGGTGGTCTTTCTCTCATTGCAGGGATCCTAGTCATTGTGGTGTATTTCCCTTTTCCCCCGAAAGTAGTCTTTTTGGATGGTCCTTTAAATCCAGTCTTTAGATCTGCTGTTCCTTTCTTCGAATCTGTGAATGTGGCATCTGATTCATCAGTACTCCTTTTAGTCTTAATTTTTGGTGATACTTCAGATTCAGTATCTGAGGCCTTTGCAACCGTTTTTGTGCCTGCCTTCAAATATGCATCAGATGTTGAATCACTAGTTGTTGTGTCCTTTCTTGGATTCTTCTTGGCCACTTTCATTGAACCTTTAGCACTTTTTGAATCTTTCTTTTCCTCCAATTCAGACTCACTTGCAGTGAACTCTACATTCTTCTTTGCATTCTTGTCTCCTTTCTTTGTAATTTTCTTATCCTTCTTTTCATCCTTCTGACCCTTTGAATTGCTTTCAGATTCAGAATCAGCATCAGTAGACTGTGTGTCCTTGATAGGTTTCTTTTTTCGCTCTTTATTTTCCTTCTTCTCGTGTTTCTTACCTTTCTTTGACCCGGCTTCAGATTCAGAATCAGTAGACCCTGCATCTTTCTTTGCATCCTTCTTCACATTTTTCTTTTTCTTTGTGCCCACTGAGTCTACAGATTCAGCATCAGTAGACTCTGCATCAGCCTTCTTTTTCTTACCCTCTTTCTTTTCTTTTTTACCCTTCTTTGAATCTTTCTTTGAATCCTTCAAGTCTCCAGATTCAGCTTCAGTAGACTCTGCATCAGCCTTCTTTTTCTTACCCTCTTTCTTTTCTTTTTTACCCTTCTTTCCTTCTTTGCTTGCATTTTTTGAGTCTCCAGATTCAGCACCAGAGTCCTTTTCTTCCTTTCCTCCCTTCTTTGCAGGCTTCTTTGCATTGTTTTGTGAACAATTCTTTGACCATTCTTCAAAATCTGTGGAATCAGCCCTAGAATCATTTATAATGACCATCAAATCCACATTTGAACCACTTATGTAAGTCTCTAATTTGTCAACTGAAATTTCCTCAGAGATTTTATTGGAATCTGCATTCAAATTGTTTGTTCCACATTTGGTTTCAATACTGCTCTCTATGGAATTCTTTGAATCTTTGTTATCTTTTCTTGAATCCATATTTAAGGGTGTCTTACAATTGCTGGATTTTGGATATTTTTCTGATGTTGAATTTGATTTCTTCAACAAATCACTATCATGTGAGGAGTTTGATGGAACTTTATCAGTTTTACTTATTTCAGGTTTACCATCTTCTCTCATTTCCTTGGATTCCAAATTTATTGCAACTGGGCTTATTATTCTCTTGAATTTTTTCTTCAAGCTTGTTTTTCTTTTATCATCATTGTATCTTTTACTTTCTGCCATTATGTAATGGTTTCTAGGATTATAAAGAAAACTGAATGGAGCCTGCATAATGAAAGCTAGGGAAAAGGATGGCCTTAGGATAATTTTTCTTAAACACTGGTTTATCAACATATAAGGAGACTTCTCACTTTCTGCATTCTTTCTTTAATCTTGCCTCTGAAAAAAATTGGTTAGATTAGTAAACATTTCTGAATGAGATATATATTTTGATTTTGCAATATAAAATGTTTATCTCTATCAATCATCTATTAAAAACTATTTTCTTTTCAAGGTTCTACATGGTGTGTGTGTGTGTGTGTGTGTGTGTATGTGTGTGTGTGTATGAATTTATTAAATTGTGGTGATTTGAGTGAGGTACCCCCATAGGCTCAAGTATTTGATTGCTTGGTCAGTTGGTGGTACTATATGTTCCACAGTCCCCTGGAACTTAGTCGAACTTGGAGGGCAAGGAGCAAAAACTGCCATTTAAGTCCCTCTGACTAGATTAGTATAGGCCTAAAATTATGGCTGTTAAACATCTGAGAAGGTTAGCTCTACCAGTCTGGTACTTTTAATTACCATGTGCTATGTAGATAAAACTTGGGCAAACCCCAAAGACTCTCAGATAATCCTTCGTTAAACATATATTTTGCTCCTTAAATTACTTGAGTAAACTATGACCTTAGAAATTTTAAGATTGTATGTATGTTATTTTTGTCTCATCCTTTATCTATCATAGTAAACCTACACAGACATTCATCTCTTGCTTAGGCTTTCTCACTTTTTCTATTTTGGAAAAAATCTCCATTCCCATATTCTTTTAACATGTTTTACATTCTAATTTTCTTTTTAATGATTATGAGACATAATAACATTAACAAATACATTATCTATAACATTAACAAATAAAATTTATATCTGTTGTGAGAGTTCTTTTCCTGGGGATACTAAGCAATGCTTATTCCCTTTTAAGGTTCTAGTCTCAAAGCAATGTTTGATTAAAGTTTTCCAGGGGAACCAATGAATTTACTGAGCTTACTTACAGAGATGACTGAGGGGTTGCTGAGGTGTCTAAGTGACCTTGGGGTATGCACACTGGAAAGCCTTTACCATCCTCCTGTTCAGGGAGGCCATGGAGACCCCACCAGATGGACTTGAACCAGTGTCCAGTCTACAAAGAGGAGGGTCAACTTGGAAGAAACATTTCCTCGGTGCTTCCAAGGGAAGCAATCCACGGTCAAGCAGGACATTTAACTTATCTCCACATAGATGGAACTGGTAAAAGAAAGGAGCCAGGGGCTCCTCCCAAGCCCATGTGATCCCTGAGTAACAGATCCTCCAACAATCTTAAGAGTAAAAATAAATTGATTTATTTGGGCCAACTGTGTGGTCTTAAACACCCAAAAGGAAACTATAACCAAAGATTAAAATGATCAGTATATTTCTTTAAGAGTTCAAGGGATTACACTTCACAGACATTGGGCTTAAGTTCATATAAAATGTTTTTTAGAGAGACAATTATTTCTCATTGATAATTTTATTGCTAAGCAGAAAGTTCTGCTCAGATGTAAGACTTCACATCTTGGTCTACAATATTGTAGTGCCCACCTGTAGCTAAGGGAGAAAACCCACGATTGTTCTAAAATGATGACTAAATTTTTTTTTCCCTTATGTAGAAGCCTTTGAGAGGGAACTGACACTGATTCTAACCATTCGAACAGCTATCAAAGTGCATGAAAACAAATTCTAAGTCCACCACTCTCGAGTCCAGCCTTGGCAGACAAAGAAAAATGAGGAGGAGCCAAATAGCTTTTGGAAGCTCTCATCAAGAAATCCCAATGGACTCTGATATGAACATTTGAAATTTGCCCTGTTCTGACTTTCTTCTAGTTCCCTGTCTACAACTTGTAGTGCTAACTACTCTTGCCTTTACTTCTTTCCTTCACATCCCCTATTCACCAGTCAAGGACTTTCTTTTCTCCCTACAGATAAGAGTTATGCAATTTGGGATCTTTTATATAGACCCAATGAAGGGATACCCCAACTGCCTCATCCTCCATGCCTGTTCAGCATGGAAGAAGCTAGAGAGGTCTGTGACCCGTTTCTCTATCAGCAGTTTGGGTAGCTTCCTCAGAGGATGGTGTGACAAGAACAGGAGGTAGGAACTGGCTAGGCAGTTAGGGTAAAAAAGACCCCAAAGAAAAGTAGCCAGTTTCTTGGCTAAAAGTCGAAATATCCTTGGGCCTCTTAGCGATATACTCTGCTCCAAAGGCCAAAAAAGTCAAAAGTATTTGGGAGCTCTTATCTAATCCCTTAATGATTTTAGGGTTACCTCTTCAGAGGGGGGAATGTTGGAGTAGCAAAAAGCCCCATGAAAAAAGAAAGAAAAGAGAGAGAAAGAAAGAAAAAGAAACTCAAGTTGTCAGAATAAAGTGATGGGGAGATATGGGAGTTGTTGGAGGGGAGGGAGTGGGTTTGGATTTGATCAAAAAACCTTATATGGACTATCCTCAGGCCTCTTGGGGTAAGTCTACAGCGCAGCTCTCCGCGCTGGGACTCCCTAAGCCACATTCACCCTTCCATCCTCCCCCTCGCCATTCTATACTCCTAGTTTGAGCCCTGCACCACTCCTAGTCTTGGGGCCCCAGACACCTGGGGAACCAATACTGTTTCCTGATCCTTCTCACACAGAGCAACTCAGTCCCTTTTCTTGGGCTCCAGGAGCACCGCTTCTGGTCCTGACCCCGCCCTCACCTCTCTCTGCTTCCCTGGGCCTGTACCACCGGCTAACTCTCCTAGCCTGCACTACTATCCTCAGGCCTCTTGGGGTAAGTCTACAGCGCAGCTCTCCGCGCTGGGACTCCCTAAGCCACATTCACCCTTCCATCCCCCCCCTCACCGTTCTATACTCCTAGTTTGAGCCCTGCGCCACTCCTAGTCTTGGGGCCCCAGACACCTGGGGAACCAATACTGTTTCCTGATCCTTCTCACACAGAGCAACTCAGTCCCTTTTCTTGGGCTCCAGGAGCACCGCTTCTGGTCCTGACCCCGCCCTCAACTCTCTCTGCTTCCCTGGGCCTGTACCACC